GTAGTAGTAGTAGTAGTAGTAGTAGTAGTAGTAGTAGTAGTAGTAGTGGTAGTAGTAGTGGTAGTAGTAGTAGTAGTGGTAGTGGTAGTGGTAGTGGTAGTGGTAGTGTTAGTGGTAGTGGTAGTGGTAGTAGTAGTAGTAGTAGTAGTAGTAGTAGTAGTAGTAGGAGTAGGAGTAGGAGTAGGAGTAGCCGTAGCAGTAGCGGTAGCCGTAGCAGTAGCGGTAGCCGTAGCAGTAGCGGTAGCAGTAGCAGTAGCAGTAGCAGGAGGAGTAGTAGTAGTAGTAGTAGTAGCAGTAGAAGGAGGAGGAGGAGGGAATTTTCTCCAACAATTTATTTTGAATAGTGATGGGCATAGCAAGACCTTTGTGCTGATTTCAGGCAGGCTTCAACAATGGCGACGGGCTGGAACAGTTCGCTTCCCAGCGCAGCTGCAATCAGGAAATGTTTGACACAAGGAATGGCTCAACCGCTCAACAACCAATCTTTTTCAAACCGCAAGGCCTGGAAGCTTTGTGAGAGCCACGTCTGAGTCTGCCCCTCAAGCTCCGGCACAGGCTGGACATGGGAACCACAAAATAATCAAGTGCTTCCTCAAACCACAGAATACCCGGCCCTTTGTGTTGTCATAAAGCTGCTCTTTGAAAGGATGAAGATCTACCAATGGTGCGGCGCCCTTGCAAGAGGTCGGGTGCTTGGTGATTAGTGCTGAGAAAAACTTTGTATTCGTATACACCGACACTTGAGCAGGCCGTTGCATATTGAGACTGTAGAAGGGGAGTGTTCTTGTTTGAAGAAGGTTCCCATTAAGGAAAAACAAGCGAGAAGTAATCAAGTCTAAGACTAACAGTGAGAAGCATATGATTTGCTGGTTAAGCGCTCTAGCAGCAAAGTGGTTGTCAAGCCATAGTCGACCTCCCTTATAGAATCTATATAACTATTCTGTAGCCATGTGTTTGTGGAGGGGCGCTGCGGGCCCTCATTCTCACACCGAGCCGTCGAGGCGTTGGACCACAGCCACGTGTCCTCCTCAAACTATGCCACATGCACGTCCTCTCGTCACAGTGGCCTATCTTTGCATTCCACAGTGGCCTATCATGAAGACATGAAGACATGATTGACATGTTCTGATTCGCGGCCCAGGGGAAATATTGGAGGTGCTCTCAGTACTGCCATACTTCGCCTTGGAGTCGGAGGGTCGATTGATCCTGTCTCAGAACATGGGTAGAAATGAGGATCTTCAGCAAACCACATGACAGGTTTGCAGCTGTTCGTTTGCTTGCACTAACTGATCTGAAAGCCAAGGAGGGTGACACCCCTGCCACATCCACCGTTGTAAGCGCTGCTGCGAGTGTCGCTCCAGCTCGCTTTATTCGTCGTTCTGCGTCGTCGCGAGTTATCGCGAGTTCCTCTCGATGCAGGAAGCAGCGAGCGACGACACAGAGATTTCCAAGCGACCCTCTTTGAAGGAGTCGGATGGATAGTGCTACGTGCTACGTGTTGTTTCTGATGCTGTGCAGATCCGTTCAGAGGTTGACGGAACCCACATAAGATTTGGAGCCGATTCGCTTGCGCTGGAGGACGCTGATTCAAAGTCATCCCGAAGCAAGCCACGCATCACATTTGAAGGGTTTGGTACTCAGCTGGGTGTGTTGGTCAACTAAACTGGTCGGCTTGCTGGTTAACCCCGCTTGATCAAGGATGGAAGGGACACCTGCGAACGAGAGTGACGGGGAGGAGGAGGAGGAGGCGATCGATGAATTTTCATTCAAATCATTTACAAAGGCAGTTGCACATAAATGATCATGTCATAAATGTAATCAAATGTAATGACTTGTAATCATGTACAAATCATTTCAATTCATGGACTTTTGTAGAAATCTTGATCGAGCAAAGGAAGTTGCACCTGTCCGTGCGGGATCCCAGCGACTCCTCGAGACTGCACAGACGGGAAGAATATGCAACATCGACATCATCGAGCTTCTTTTTAGAGGAGTTGAGCTTTTGATAGAGGTTGTTCTTTTGCTTTCTTTTGATAGAGGTCTGTTTGCTTTCTGCAGTCTTGAGAGGTAATTGTGAGGCGTTCCTGTGTTGATACAGTGTAGAGTGTAGTTAAGGATGTGAGCCCAAGACCTATCAAGCCTTTTAGATTCTTTTTTAGGATGGCGACTGTCGTGACAACTGTCGAGTCATATAACTAACGTCGTATGACTGTCGTCTGACTATTGTATCCCGGGTTTTGTCTTGGCCGTCGTATGCTTCTCCGTGAGCTCTGCAGTGCAGGCAGTGACAGAGGTAGTGATACTTCATCCGTGGCGGCGGCGTGGAAGCTCTCTCAGTTCTTCCGCGAGCGGAGGGGGTTCCGACTCAAAGCGGCTCCGACTGCTGTAGGCGAGCGGATGCGCTGGACGTCGGACAAAACTTGGCAGCAGAAGCCGCTGCAAAGAAGGACGCCAAGCCGCGAGTGGAGTGGCCAAAAGAAGAAATTGTGTAACTGGAAGCTGATTTTGTGCTCCATGTCAGACCCTAGGCCCTAATGTCACTTTGCTTCAGCGACATTTTGACTAGTGCAGGGGACCACATCAGTGGATTCTATAGTGGCATTGGTTCTCGACTTAGACTCACGGAAGATCGCCCGTGCCAAGCTCGGCATAACTCGGCATTTTGCGGATTCTCCAGGTGCAGGTTGAGCGAGACCGCTGGGAGGAGGAGAAGCAGGCGCTCGGGCGGATCTGCAATTGCTTCAGACAGAGAGGGAGTTGCTTACGCAGTCAGTGCTTTGTATGTGAGGCGCTCGAAGCCAGAATAGAAGATCTAAAGGCCAAGCGAGCGCGAGAGCAAGTCCAACTCTGAACAGTACGAACATTGTGTGGCAACTTTCTTTGGAGATAAGTTGAAAGAGATGAGAGAGAGCGAGAGAGAGATGAGTTTGCTCATCGCTCCAACAAGAGCAGGCACAGCTGCGCTCGATGCAGGCAGAACCCTTTTTGTAGCATGGAAATCAAACACCTTGCTGACATGCTGAGCCGCCTGCGCTGCGGCGGCAGATGCTCCTTCATGTTGCTCGTGTGAAATAGAGATCCACATTTCCCAAACTCAGATGGATGCAGGCTACGCATCAGCCAGACGCGGAGAAGGAGGTGCTTTGACTACTACTTACATCTATTTACTACTTGCATGAATACGACTTACATCTACTTACTACTTGCATGAATTCCAAGCAGCATCGGACTCCTGGTACTACTTTGCGAGCAGCAGGCGTTGAAGAAAGAGTACCAAGATTTGCGGAAGGCTTGGCCAAGTCATGACATTTTGGCAATCCTTCAGACACATTTCGTTAGATTCAACATTTTGGTCCTGGGTTTGACATAGGCAATGAAGGCTCGAAGCCGATTTGGCGCTTGGGTTTGCGTCCGTCTCCCAGATACTTGTGCTCTCCGCAATGCTATATGTAGTGTTATCGTTCCAGCACGAGGCTAGACACATGATGGAAAGTGAAGACGAGGAGCTTTGGGAATGAAGGGGCTTCCTTTGGAGAGGCGTTATCACATGCCTGCCCTCCCTGCAGGAGACTGATGCGGAGAAAGAGGTGCAACTGCTGCTTTCTTGGCTTTCTTGCTATGTATATTGACTGCTGTTGACCTTGCCAAAATGGATGTTTTCAGAGTTTTCAGTACAGCGCGTACAGGAACTCCGGCGCAGAATGTCCGAACTGTCTTTGAAACTTCGTGCGGTCTGTCTCCCGGTCTGAAGATATCAACACATCAAAAACAACACATTTGATCATTTGATACTACGCAGACTAGGCAAAGGCAGCTGTGGGTGCTGCTTCAAGTGAGTCTGATGTATCACCAAGCAGAAGGCCGGCTTTGTGTATTGCTTGTTTCTGAAGCGATTGCCAGCCGTCGATTCGGACTGCCTTGATCTGCCTTGCATGTCAGGTCCCCTGGCCCTCCGATTCGGAGGAAGCAGTAAATGGTTTCATAGTCCACAGTGCTGCCTCGTTTGCAACTCAGAAATGGAGCCAACAAAGCTCATGATTTGCGATGCTGAAATGTGGACCGATCAGGTTGCGTCGAAAGACTGCGAGATGATGTTCGCAGCATCGATCGTGGAAAATAGCCATCACGCGTGGAACTGCTCTTGGTTGGCACTTTTCTAAAGCTGAATGAACACCGAGTCACGCCGTGAAGACGTGTGTCACCTCAAGAGCCTTCAAATCAATGTCTAGATCGAGATAATTGGAAGTAGCCACTTTAAGAGACATGTCAAGCATAGCAAGTTGGCAAGCCCTGCACATTTTTGCTTTGTAATACCATATTTGGCATCAGAAGTTGAGAGAAAAGCAAAGAAATTTGTGCCTTTGGCTAACAATTACAGCTTTCCACCAAAGGGGCTGGCAGCTCATATTGCACTTAATGTTGGATTTGTCTGGTGAAGTATGCGGCGAAGGTGCTTGCCAGTTAGTTGTTGCATGTTGTTGCAGCCTTTTACTACAGTGATTTTGTAGCATTTTGGACTTGGCAGGTTGCTGGAAAAGCCTGCTGGTGCTCTTAGCGCACACAAGGCCATGATTCTTTTTCCAGAGGCAATTCGGGCTCAATCGATGCAATTTTGTGATCTTGTGTTTGCCAGGGGCAGTGACCGGGAGCCAAAGAAGCTCCCAGGAACAATCCAGCGGCCAAAATCGAAAGCAGGTGCAAGTTTGTAGGGTCGACGATGTTCGACAGAGAACGGACATTTTGAGGAACAAGTCTGGAAGATCCAAACAAGAAAAGATTGAGAAGAGTCGTGGCTTGGCAACATTGAAGGCGAACGACCACGGCTTCCACTTGAAGCGTGTTGGCATTGATTGGTGGATTGATTGATGGACTTTTCCAGACCTATTTGCGCTCAAGAAATCAACAGCCAAGATGTGATGCCCCTTTTCAAGTGCCCTCATACCTCTCCAAACGGCTTCCATTGGGTATTTTTGCTTGGAACGAGTTTGCTTGCCCAGGGACGAACAAAACGATACGACGACGTTTCCGACTGACGATGGTGAAGGTGTTTACGATGATTCCAGGGACCTAGCCGGTGACGTCACATGAGTGATGTTGTCGCCTCTGAAAGGGAGACGTTCCAAATCCGGGCAGTTGACTCAGAGCGTCTGAGGTCGTCAATGCATTGGTTCAGCTGCAATCGCTTCAGGAAACACGTTGAAGCTCAAAGGTTGCTTCTAAGACTCTAAGATGTACCTGCTCTTGAGAGTGTAAGATACTGGCTGAATTGCTTACAGTCACAAATTAGTACTGAAGATGCTGCTAGTTCCTGTGAGGAGGTTGCCCTGGAAGAGCTCGAGGGTGCAGTTGCACGGCTCAAGGCGAAGTTGATAAGCACAAGGTCACAACTGGTAAACAACCAAAAAGACAATCAAAGGCATTGGCTACTTGGCTGCTTTCTTAGATTCTTGGCCGATGAGCCCTGGAACTCTTCTCCAAGATCTGACATTCTGTTTGGACTTGGGCGTTTATTGTATTTTTTGGCTTGTCACGACTTGCCAGGCTGAAGCGCCTTCGACGGTCTCAGCACGTTCATCTCGATCCAAGTTCCAAAGATCGTTTTCGGTGTTTCAGCTGCATTTTTTGACCAACTTGCACGCCCCCTTGAGCCGCGTGCCTAGGCGATTGCCAAGCCCACAACAGAGTTGGGGGGCTTGGGCGGTTCCGTGACAGACAGTTCCTTGTGCATGGTGTCGACATGCATCGGCTCACCAAGACCTGGGGGACAAGATCACCTGGCCATTCTGGCATAAAGTGATGCAACGGCGACCTGGTGGTGCCAATTCTGATTCTTCCACCTTCGTTTGCCAGGAAGACCTGTCAGCCAAACGGTCATTGAGGAGGCTCTGGTCTGAGTTGGATTGGCTGCGGATCATAGAACGTGCCTCCCAAAATCGATTGTTGCTCAGTGTATTTGTAGCTGCAGGAGCTGGACTACTTCCATGTGCGCCCAAGCAGCGCAGCATTGAGAACGATTTGACATACGCATTTCTTGCTTTCGGCTCTGCTGTTGGCTGGTGTGACTCATTTGAAGGAGCCAGGCAGGCAAGCTAGTATCAGCCATACTCAGGCCGTTCGAGGAGCCATTGGCTGATGTGTTCTCAGTTTGCATACATGGTGCAACAGCTGACATTCTGCCTTTCCCAGGATGGCGACACGCCAGGAAACTCCACGGTCGTCAGCGCCGCTGCCAGTGCCGTCCGGGCATGGATTCAAACATGAAGAAACTGCCCTTTGGGCATGCCTAGTAACAAGAAGCTATTAGAAACAAGTGCCACGCTTCTAGTAACAAGTGCCTTACTTGTAGTAACAAGAAGCTATTAGAAACAAGTGCCTCGCTTCTAGCACTGATGGCTCCGCCACGGTGAGCGAGTCAACATGTTGTGAGCATCTGTGGCAGGAAGTGGCCAGCGATTCTGACACACCGTCACTGAAGCCTTCCCCAAGGGACCGCGGTGCTGCGGTGCTTGTGCTTTCAGTCTGTTGTACAGGGGCATTACAGAACAAACACACTTTGAATCAAGAAGCCTAGGCCCTCATCGCTCTCATCCAGCATGGCTTCATGTTCCTAACCTGCATCCTTTCAAGCTTCAGAGAGCTGGTGAATGTGCCCCCCCGAGTTTCGATCATACTTTCTGCTTGGACTTCTTGTAATCAAATAGTTACAGTATATAGTTGGACAACAACAATCTGCCTTGGCAGCTGTGCCAGGCCCTTTTTGTTTTCCCTTGGATTTGCCTGTAGCTCTCTACTTGCACGCACAAACTCCAATTCATTATTGTCACCCACATCACCCTCTTTCAGGGAGCTTTCATGATTCACTTAAGAAAAGTTGAATCACAGACAATCGAAAAAGCGGTAACCCGATGCTCATCCTTTTTCACTTTCAGGATTGAACGCCATCACTCGCTATAATGGGGACACCGGTGAGCATCATGCCATCATGCAGGGAATATCACCATGCAGGGGCCAGGAACGCTTGCCAGCCCTGTGTCGTGGGATCTTGGTTCACCCAGCATCTGCAACCGAGCACGAAAGGGATGCCGCGGAAGCAACCACGTATACAGTTCGTCTCAAGGTAAAACTGTCCAAATGTAGCTCAAGCTGAATCTTTTGCCCGAGATAACCACGAAGCGGCCTTAAGCTGAAAAACACTTCTCATGTTGAAACGTCAGTCATGCCAAAATCAGCGCAAAGCGTTGTAGCAGTTCTACTGACGTTGAATTTCGGAACTTTGCCAGCAGGAAAGCAAGGACATTAAAGCCAAATCCAAAGTTAGCCGGATCACTTTTGAAGGGTCGACACCTCAGGTACCTCAAGTTTTGTAAAAGATCCTGGTGCTGTACAGCCTGAGGTCTGCACCGTTAGACACTCTTGAGAAACAAGAGAGTGATAGCGAAGAGGAGGACGACGACAAACATTTTCCGCCCCCGGGCTCACGACGACGGGACATGCGTGTATTTTTTCTCTCATTTCGTCATTTCTTACTTCAGCGCAGAGAGTTCCACTCTTGCGGAGGAATTGCCACAGGGAATCAGAAGACTGCGTGTCGGTTGGGTCCTTGATCAGAGTCAACTGTCTTGGAGTACCAAGTTGGATCGTTTGTCATACGTCTCCGACAACCTTCAGGCAGCGATGCTTCGTCCGTCGGGAGAAAAAGCGACACATCATCAGTCAATTGGTGCGCTATGCTATGAAAGCCTTGGATCAACATGGATCAACATCAATAGCGCTCCTGAGCTGTAGGCGTGCAGATGCTTTGGACGTTGGGGAAAATTTGGCCGCTGAAGCAGCTGCCAAAAAGGACGACGAACCAAAGGGGTCTTCTTTTTGGAAGACAATGGCTTTGATTTCGATTCTTGCAGGGCCACACTTCCATTGATTCCATCGTGGCCTTGGTGAGCAAGCTTAGCTTTTTTGAGAGAATGAGATGAATGAGTATGGGTGTGTATTGAAATGGGAAGACCTCCCACATAGCCCAAAGAAGGAACTAGATAATACATTGGTTCGCAGTCCCCGCTGTTGGTTGCTTGCCGAGGTGGAAGCAGAGCGGGAGAGATGGGATGAGGAGAAGCAGGTGCTTTGATGTGCTTCGTAGGTGGTGTGGGACTCTACATAGAGACCTTGAAGAGCATAGTGTTCTACCGGTTCACATGCAACCACTGTGATGCTAATGTTGTCGAACACAGAAAGGAAGCCATGATTCCAGTCCTGCTCCATAATTTTTGGGTCCGTCTAGGAACTGTTTGGACCATGCAAAGGGTTCTTTTGTGTCCTTGCAACAACTAGCTTCCTTGCTAATTACTGCCACAGCTTCTTTTTCCTACCCAATTCAAACAGAATAGCAAACAGGGTCTTGTATTCAATAGCAGCAATAGCACAATGAATACAATTTGAATACACAAAGCCTTTTGGAATTGGCCGTTATAAATTTGAACCACTCACCGTTCTGAGAGGCCCTTGAGGCGAAACTTGAAGAGTTGAAGGCACAGCGACACAAAACAGCAGTTGAGGATACAGTGAGAATACCATTGAAGAGTTCTGTGGACAGTTGAAGAGAACTTGAGTCTTTAGTAGTCTTTGCGAGGATCACCTGCGCTCAATGCAGGCTCTTGCTGGGACACATTGCAGCCACGTTTGCTTTTGTGCAGCCAGAGTTGTTCTTAAGGGGCTCAGTTTACAGCATATCTTGCGTAGTAGTGCGGTACATACCGCCTTTCTTGTTATCGAAGAGAAGTCGAAGAGTCGTCCATCCATTGACCATGGCCATCTGCTCAGTCCCACCGTGACAGTCAAAGTTGAGGCCCAACTAAGTCCTGATGCTGAGAAGCAGGTGCAGTTGGTGCAGAAGCTGCAGCATGCGAAGTTAATGTTGATAAACAAAAGAATAGGACTTCGCTGGTGGTCTACTTTGCCGGTCCCAGGCCTTGAAAGCGCAGTATCAAGAGCTGCGCAAGGTCGGCGTAGAATGCCATCCATGTTTCAGTTCGACCAGATGTTGTAACACATCTACGTTGGACGAGATTTTCAGGCAATGAAAGCACGAAGTAGATTTGGTGCCTGGGTTTGTGTTTCGGCCTTGGAGAGGAACACCAAGGGAAAACTCTATATATGGACTTCAATTCCTTCACTCCTAGGAAAGGCACATGATCGAAAGTGATGATGAGGAGCCCCACAACTAAAAAAGCTGCCTGCTGCTATGTAGTGTAAGGTTGCTACCACTCTTTGCAACCACTCAGGTTGCAAGAGCCTTTGATGAATGCACCTAATGTGAAGTCCTGCATCCAACAGTTGCAAAGTGAAGGGATATGTTCGCACAAGGAGCCAAATGCCGAGAGAGAGGACATTCAACAGCATCAACAGAGCGTAAACGCATACCAAAGACTCAATGTGTTGATCAGTTTGTTCTCTCTGGAGGAGCTTCGCAACAAGATCTCGGAACTCTCAACAAGGCTTCGGCAGGTTTGGGCCTAAGGCACTTCGATCACACGAGCAGCCCAACACATTTTGTGATAGTAAAGCAAACATAAAGCTAAAGGCTAAAGCCTCGCTTGGCGCTGCTTCCAGCGAATCAGACGTGTCACCAAGCCGAAGGCCGCTCACACTTCACTTGTGCTCAAACTTCCATTTATATTTTTTTAAACATTATTTATTTGGTTTCCTTTTTCACAGGTCGCCTGGAATCATGCGACATAAAAAATAATATATAATATAAAATATATTAACAATACATCTATAAATAATTTAATTATATATATACATAGGATAATTTACAATAATAAATTCTACTATTATATATTTTTTAATTAATAAATGGATATAATTTTATTGATTTAACATATATTATATATAAAATTAAATATATTTGGATTTAAATACGAAAATTTCGATTTTTGGAATATATTTTATTGGAAGATTTATATTTTAAATTAGATATAATTTAAATTCGATTTAATTGTTTTATTTGCAAAATTTAATATTGGGAATATTATTATTTGGAATAAAAACAAAAATAAATATTTTTCGAATAAATTGAAATATTGCATTTATAAATTTCTTGATATTTATTTTTTTGAAGATTATATATAATTGAAAGATTAAACATTGGAAAGAACATTAGGATAATAAGGAAATAGAAATAGGATTATATTTATGGATTATATTTTTGAAAAATTCTTATTAGTAATATTTAAATAGATATATTTTGTATATTTTTAAAATTTCGGGGTATTAAAGAATAGATTTTGATGGGAAAAATTTAATAAATAAATATTCATATAAATGTTTAATGAATTAAATAATATTAAATTGATATAGGAGGAAAAAAGAAAAAGAATGAAATAACACGAAAGATAATTAAAAAAAAGAAATAATATGAAAATTATATTAAATAACAATAAATAGATTATTTAAATGAATAAAGAAATCGACATCGATGGATATTTTATATGGGATTGGCATAATTTTGCGTTGCCATTATTTTGAATGACGGTGTTTTTTTGATTATTTGGTTTTTAATCTCTAAATATTTTGAATTAATGTATATATTTTTTATTTATTATTTTGATGATTTTTAAGAATAATATATTGGAATATTTATAGAAATTTAGTAACAATAATAGCTAATAATAATAACAACAATAATTTAATTAATTTAATAGGCTCGTACGTTAGCTGCTCCTTGACAGAGCAACCTTGGACTGGACGCCTGGGGGACGTTGGTTGACGCGGCTGCCTGGGGAGGACTCGAGTTGGGGTCATATGGTAAGATTGAGGAAATGTGGACTTATGAATTTCAATTCTTTATAATTTTATGAATTAATGAATCTTAATCCCCGATTCCTATCTCTCGATTATCCGCTCTACATATTTTTATTTATTTATTTATTTATTTTTTTTTTTTTTTCACAATGGGAAAGACGTGTGGTTAGGAAAGAACCGGTGCTTAAATCGAGCTATCGTGGTAGCTGCAATAAACCACATTGAATTCCAAAAATATGTATTACCTGTTCTCAATGCGATTAGGACAATAACCCCAAAATTCTATACAGACACGTAGCCAGAGGCTCTGTTTTTACCCCATATTTATTTCATTAAATGCAGAAAAGATAGTTATATGAATCATTCAAGGGGTATTATTTGGGGTTCAAGGTTGACATTCTTGATTGATATTTTGCGGTTCTTTTTTTATGGGGATGATTATTAGATTTATATAAATTAGCATTTTCCCGAATGCGTAGCGAAGGATTCTCGACCCGTTGCTTCTACGTCCGCAACCGTCCGCAGGTGTCCGCAATAGAGCGCTAAGGCGCTGCCATTGGGGGAAGCTTTTGCAAGTGACTTTTCATGGATGGGTCACGTGTCAGTTTGCGACGCTATTCCATTGCGATTTGCATGAAAATGACATGTCGCGCAAGAAGCGTGATGCATTTCGCTGCACAGGCGTAACGTTTTGTGAGATCCTCAGTTTGCTACGCAATTCCATTGGGATTAGCGTTTGGAGAGTCGTATTTTTGGGGCGTTGGATGTGGCCGTGCCATTGGCATTTGCGTTTCAGGGTGTGGCATCGAAGTTCTGTTTTCGTGAGCAGTCTCAGCTGAAATGGCGATTTTGGTGGATGGGAGTGTGTTAAGAACGGGTCGAAATCATTCCAAATGTGTGGTGTGGTGCAAATTTTGTTGAAGCTGACATGAGATGATATTGCCACTTTTCGTGGCAGGCGCAGTACTTTGTGTGGGCTTTGAGGCGTGGAAGTGCGATTCTCGTGGCAGGCGCAGGGAATGGTGAGGTTGCGAGGTGTGACGGAGGTGACATTTCGTGGCAGGCGCAGTTCTTTGTGCACGTTAGACGTGTGGATGCGGAAAGATTCGTGGCAGGCGCAGGGAATTGTGGGATTGGCGTGTGAACGGGTATTGTTTGGAGGGGTTGGACTCGCGAAATTGCTTGGCAGGGCTGCATGATGTGTGTGCTCCGATGGGTGTTTCCGCTTGACTTTTGGAGGAAGTCTCGTACGACATGCTCGTTTTGGAGACTTGACGCGTGACTTTTGGAGGAAGCCTCGTACGAAACGCTCGTTTTGGAGACTTGACATGTGACTTTTGGAGGAAGTCTCGTACGAAGAGTGCCCTGCAAGAGTGTCCTACAAAAGTGTCCTACAAAAGTGTCCCACAAGAGTGTCCTACAAGAGTATCCCACAAGAGTGTCCCACAAGAGTGTCCCGCAAGAGTGTCCCGCAAGAGTGTCCTATAAAAGTGTTCCACAAGAGTGTCCTACAAGAGTATCCCACAAGAGTTTCCTACAAGAGTTTCCTACAAGAGTGTCCCACAAGAGTGTTTCGCAAGGGGTGTCCCACAAAAGTGTCCTACAGGAGTGTCCCACAAGAGTGTCGTACAAGAGTGTCCCACAAGAGTGTCCTACAAGAGTATCCCAGAAGAGTTTCCTACAAGAGTGTCCCGCAAGAGTGTCTTATAAGAGTGCCCCACAAGAGCGTCCTACAAGAGTGTCCCACAAGAGTGTCCCGTATGAATGTCCCACCAAAGTGTCCCACAAGAGTGTCTCACAAGAGTGTCGCACAAGAGTGTCCGACAAGAGTGTCCCATAAGAGTGACCCACAAGAGTGTCCTACAAGAGTGTCCCGTAAGAATGTCCCACAAGAGTGTCCTACAAGAGTGTCCCATAAGAGCGTCCTACAAGAGTGTCTCGTAATTGTGTTCCACAAGAGTGTCGCACAAGAGTGTCCCGCATCCGTGTCCCACAAGAGTGTCCCTTAGGCCCCACAAGTGTGTCTCACAAGAGTGTCTTACAACAGTGTCCCACAAGAGTGTCCTACAAGAGTGTCCCACAAGAGTGTCTTACAAGAATGTCCCGTATGAGTGTCCCACAAGAATGCCCCACAAGAGCGTCCTACCAGAGTATCCCACAAGAGAATCCCGTATGAATGGTCCCACAAGAGTGTCCCACAAGAGTGTCTCACAAGTGTGTCGCACAAGAGTGTCCGACAAGAATGTCCCATAAGAGTGACCCACAAAAGTGTCCTACAAGAGTTTCCCACAAGAATGTCCTACAAGAATGTCCCGTATGAGTATCCCACAAGAATGCCCCACAAGAGTGTTCCGCAACAGTGTCCTACAAGAGTGTCTCACAAGAATGTCCTTTAAGAGTGTCCCACAAGAGTGCCCCACAACAGTGTCCCACAAGGGTGTCCTACAAGATTTTTTTATAAGAATGTCCCACAAGAGTGTCCCACAAGAGTGTCCTACAAGAATGTCCTACAGGAGTGTCCCACAAGAGTGTCCTACAAGAGTGTCCCACAAGAGTGTCCCACAAAAGTATCCGACAAGAATTTCCTATAAGAGTGTCCCACAAGAGTGTCCCGCAAAAGTGTTCCACAAGAGTGTCCTACAAGAATTTCCTACAAGAGTGTCCTGTAAGAGTGTCCAGCAAGAGTGTCCTACAAAAGTGTCCTATAAGAGTGCCTCACAGAGACAAAAAATTCCAATAAAAGTGACCGCAATGGCAGCCTACAAGGGTGTGCGACAAGAGTGTCCCGTATGAGTGTCCCGCAAGAGTGTCCTACTAGAGTGTCCCACAAGTATCCCAGTTGTGGATTTCTCTGTATTATGTGGACGGTTATCATTTTCAAGTGCTTATTTTCGAGATTTTGGGACAATGCCATTATTTCTTTCGTGCTGTGGATCTGCCAGAACCTTTACGGCAGTGCTTGATTTGAATGCAAAACGAAGACCCTTCATGACGAAGACGGAGCTTGGTGGTGAAGTCCTCAGCACATGCTGCCTTGGTGGTGGAGTCCCCAGCGCATGATATCCAACAGCATGCCGGAGCGTGAAAAAGAGACTCTAACCGGCTGTGTCTCTTTCTATACACAGTGGATTGACATATGTGTTTGCATTCGGGTTCAAGGGCTCCATTTTATCTTTTTCTATTTTTTGTTTTGGATTTATTATCTATTTTCGGATGATAATATTATTTTTTATATTATAACTACTATATTTTCTAATGAAACATAATTTTCTTATAATATTTTCCGTTTTTTTAAGAGGACTTATGTAATTTATTTATTGCGAAATATTTCTCTTCGTTAATTGGATAAAATATATTTAAAATATATTAAGATAAAATCATTTGTTAGTATTAAAAAATATATACGGAATTGTATTTTTGGTATATATTTCCTGATGAAGTGATTGGACATTCGGTTTGAGCGATTCATATCCTCGAATTATATTTTGCTTCATATCCCCGAATTATACCCCTCAAAAAGGTATATGTAAGAGTCAGGTGTTAAGGAAAAATTTTTGATTTATCTTTGTGCTTTGGAGATATCTATGAACCAATGGTGCATAATATGTGCAATTGTGTAATCCATGGACGCTCTATTAGGTCGAAATTATTTTTTTCTTGTGGGAAGAGCAAAGGCTCACATCCCAGGGGCACGTATAATGTTCCCATGTGCTCTCCCTTGGGAAGAAGAGCCAAAGGACCGCCGTCTTTTGCAGAATCTAATGGCCATACGAATCACACCGGCTTCATGCCCGATTCATGCCCGAATCACGCGGCTCCATACAATCTCCCACCCATCCCACATCTTGGTTGTTTTGCCACTGGAATCTTTGATGGAAGAGTGCATTTGTCTAGTCTGCCCAATATCCAATAGATGCTGCTTGCCTACTGCCTCGCGGCGCAGAGTGGGCCCACCGCTGGAAATCCAATTAATCCAACAATATAACTTCAAAATTACGAATCATCTACGAATCATATCCTCGAATCATACCCCCGAATTATACCCCGAATCATACCCTCGAATCATATCATCTATTTAAATTTCCCGGCCCGGACTACAGAAAAAAATATCCATCCATATGAAGGGATATATAAATTAATTTATTAAATTCGTAAAAACCTTCATTCAATAGGATTAAACAAATACAAATAAAAAATAAAAGGACTAGG